AATTGAGCTTCTGATCTGTTAATTGGTCAAGCTCTCATTCTCGGCCCACAGCAAGGCAGAGCAAAGTCATTGATCCCTCAGCATCCTGAGCAAAACTGTTTAGATGTAAACAGAGAGCTGTGCGAGAGACTGAGAGAGCTTACTACTACTGAATACATCTCTGTTCCCCCCTCCAGACTGTTTGATCTGTGTGATTATTCTCTCAAGCTCCCAGAACATCCCAACTCCCGCCTCTGTAATAAAGATATTCATTTACCTGATATGGAAATCTTGTTCACAACTGATCCCAAATGACTGTGGAAGAATGTGGGGAGGTAAGAGGTGACAGAGGTGGATGGAGGAGGTGATGGGACAGGAGTGTGGAGGGAAAGAACAGCATAAAACATTAACTGGGAGTGAGTCGATGTAACACAGAGTCAGAAAGATGACAGAAAATGACTTTGAACGATTTGCAGGTGGAGGGTTTTTATTGATATGTGGGGCAACTATTTTCAACTCATGAATCAGTTAAAGTAATAAAGTATCCTTGATAGTGGTTGGTTAAGTGAATGAGATCAGTGCAGATATTTAAAAATGTGTTTTTATCTGAATGAAGTGCCTTTTATTTGAGAAGTATTCAACTGGCTTAATTTTTTCTCATTTTGTTACATTTAGCCACACATTTTACTGTATTTTGTTGGGATTTTATGTGGTAGAGAAACAAAGAGTAGTTAAAAGTTTTAATAAAGAGAAATGATCCATGGTTTTTCCTAAAGTTGTACAAAAGCAATAAAGTTTGTTGTGCATATGTGATCAGACACCCTTAATGTCACTACAATTGCAATGCTACTGCAGGAGTTTTAGACTGGTCTGGACTTTGCTATTCTAAAACATAAATGCTCTGGCTATATATTTATTGTCCTGCTTGTAGGTAAAGTTTTTTTGCTGCCTCAAACAAGTTTTAATCCAGAATTGCCAGGATTTAACTGTTCCTTTTCCACCATGTCTTACTTTGGGGGTTTAGTATTCAGTGTTCTTCTTCTTTCAGAGATTTGTTGTATAAAGTGGAAACTACACTTCTCCCCACCACATTGCAAGTATACAGTCCTTTGTGTTTGTCTGAACATCATATATGGAAACTCAAAACACATTGAAGATTAAAGTGCATCGACATTTGTTTATGTAATGCAAGAAAACGTGAAAGAGCTTCATGAATGTGAGCACTGTTGCACAGCAGGATCGGAATTGTCTTTAGTATTACGAAAGATTTTATTTAAGACTTTGTCTTAACAATATGCTGTACTTTATACTATCCAGGATGCATTAGTAAGAAATAGACGGTTTGCAGTGAGGTTACAAAGTTTAAAGAAAACTCCCGCTTTTGTTTGTTTCTCATATGAGAAGAAAGTGTATTCTCACATTTGGATGGAGCAAATGAGATACAGGGTGCTGATGGTCATGTTCCAAGTTAATCTTCCCTTCTTTTATTTTGTTTAAATGTACAGCTCATTCATTCCAGGTTTTATTGTCTCTGTCAGGGGAACACTGCTTTCCCCTATAACATGGCCACCATGCTCAGCACATCAGGCAAGTTCTTGATTCTGTACTCAGTAATTTAAAGCCTTTATGGAAATGCAATTTCAGGGCTCAGTGCTTGTTTTTCTAAATTGTACTCAAGGAATTAGCTACTCCAACCACAAATCAGTTGAATTTATGCCCAGTTGTAATACACTTTATGGGCCCATGGTACATTGCTTCAAAAACAGCAGATGTGGAATTATGATAAATATAATGAGGGATTTTTTTTTTTCCTCTTTGCTTGCCTCGTTCTGTCTCTCACCCTTCTTCCTTCACTCTCTCTCGGCTGCAGAGAAGGGGGTGAGGGGAGGAGGACGTGAAGCGTGTTTATGTACGCCATACAATACATTTAATGTCTTAGTAAGGGCCGCCAACAAAACTTGATTAATGTCCTCATCTCTTTTATTAAAGATAAGAGTGGCACTGCAGTCAGAAGATAGAGAGGGTGCTATAAATCTCAGGCAAAATGAGCAGTCAAATAATCACTCATCAGAAATGAAATCTACATACATTAACACTCGCAGACGTTCTGCTGTGAATATAAACATAGGGCTTACGGGTGATGAAGCCGCTTTCATTTATCCATATACTCTCAGTGTGGGGGAAGGTGGAGGGAGGCGCCTGAACACTGTAAGCTCTCAACTGGCAATGATGTTTAAGGGGCTTCTGTCCTGCTAAGCCACGGTCCGCCAGACTGAGCATGTGTCCAGAGAAGCAGACATGCAATCATTAGAGCAATGGATGAGTTGGATGGCAGAGGCAATTAAGCATCTCCCTGAATAGGACATAATGTTGATCCATCCCTACGATTAATCAAGGCATGCATTAGACAGTGATGGGCGACCCCATGCCTTTGTGACAAAATGATTCTTCATCTCCTGTTTGGGGATAGGGATCCTGAGGTCCCTAATGCGCCTTAGAGGTGCCCCAACGAAATCCTGTCATCCATTTTGCTTCCATCGCTGACAGCTATCAACCTGTCTTCTACTCGCCAAGGAACATTATCTGATCTCCCAAGGCGGTTAGCGACAACGACTAAGATCATGGGTGGTGGCGGAGGACAGACAGACAGATTTGTAAAGCACAGAGACTGTTGCCCTGCTTCTGTGAAATGGTAAATCCACATAGATGGAGCTACGCAAACTGTACTGGAGATGAAAAAATGTTCAAATGCACACAATTTATTTTTTCATGTATGTATTAACAGGAAGTTTTAAAAGGACTCTGTGCTTTATACTTACAATTTCCAGCATCTGAAGCAGAAATCTCATTCTTTTTTTTTGCAGTTGTTGAGACAATTGAATTTCTTAACATGTACTCCTTAAATGAATTTCATTCGGTTACAATTTTAATATTCCATCATCATTAGATATCAATGAGAAATAAAAAGTTTAATGCAGGTTTTCTATAAACCTGAATTAAACTTCAGGTTTATAGAAAACCAGTTCTTTATAAGACTGGCATGCTCAGAGTGTCTTCAATCAGAAGCTTTTCCAGATATGTTGTAACACAGACTGCTACAGGAGACTATTTCTGCCCACTGCCATCAGAACCATCTGCAACTGTATGAAGAGCCTTGAATAATGTGTTACAACAGTATTAAATTCCCCTGCGTATCAATAAATCTTTGAACTGAAATTATTTGAATTGAACCTCTCTAAAGTAGCACAGATGTTGCATCATTAAAAAGTTGATTCAGATATCCTCACTTATTAAATCACAGGACCTTCCTTTGAGAAATGTTGGATTTAAACATTGCTGGACTAAATTGATTTAAAGAAGTGAAAAATAAACCGAGGCTGACCTTTAATTTGATTTGACTCAATCAGAGTTTTTCAGGTTTACACCTTCAGCAGATGCTGTCTCACTGACAATAATGCATATTTCACATTAATCACTTGATCTAGACGTCACAATGTGATTTATTAAGCGCTGCACTTACATCAGAGCATTTGTCGCCCTTAAGAAATATTAAAGCTGAAAGATGATGATTTATTGATGTATTCCTCCAAATGTTTTTTTTTTTGTTTGTTTTAAACAAGCAACGCGTTTATATATTCCCAAAATTCAGAACGTATCAGGTCATTCCAGACACTTTGCTTCATTCTATCTCTGTTCCTCTCCTTCCATATGGCCACCTATTCAGCTGTACTGCCATAACATGAGATCATTACCTTCATCATTGAGCCCAGGCATCTGAGCGCCTGTTAACCTGGAACAGACCCGGCTGTGCTGATGGTACAATATGCTCCTTGTTATTCTAGGATCATTGACGCTAAATCCCTGGCAATCAAGTCAGTTTTGTCGAAGCTCATTGGCTCAGTGGGGTCTCATCTCATCTGTGTGCTCGAAATGAAGGCGAGAGTGTTCGGGTTAGTTAGGTCGTTAGGGAGAAATTCTTTGATAATGGCGCATGTTACATTAGACTCCTACAAACCAACGATAAGTGTTTCAGTGTCTGTGTAATATCATTTACAGAATGGTTACGGTAGATAAGAAATTCCCCACACTGTAAAAAAGGAACCTCAGGGGTTATCACATTAACAAAAGAATATCATGTACTGTTAACTAAATAATTCCATGTTTGAGCCAAAAACATGATACAATCATGTTGCATAAACAAGATATTCCACAACTTCAACTTTTATAAAATTGAATCATGTTGAGCTAACATGATTCATTATAGTCAGACCGATCCTATGCTGAAGACCACGAGTGAGATCACGGGATATCATGCAAGTTCACGCAATATTACGGGAAATCACGGGATATCACGCGAGAATACACGAGACAATTGGTTTTCTCTCGCAAATGGAATAAAATGTATTCAAGGTGAGATAACGTGATTCAATTATGTCAGCTAGATCTTCCGCCAAAAAAAAAAAGAACGTCGGGGCATATTACATGAACAAAAGAATATCATGTACCTTTCACACAATAATGTTGGGTTTGAAGCGAAAACGTGATAAAATCATGTTGGATAAACAAGATATTCCACGACTTCACATTTATAAAATTGAATCATGTTGAGCTAACATGATTCATTATTGTCAGACTGATATTGTGCTGACGACAACGAGTGAGATCACGGCATATCACGCGAGAACACGCGAGACAATCGGTTTTTTCTCTCAACTGGACTAACGTGATTGAATGACGTTATCTAAACTTGAATAAATCTAATTAACATTTATATACCCACCGCGGGTGGTTCTTATCCTCTGAGCTCGGGTCCTCTACCAGAGGCCTGGGAGCTTGAGGGTATATATATATATATATATATATATATATATATATATATATATATATATATATATATATATATATATATATATATATATATATATATATATATATATATATATATATATATATATAATTTTATTCAATATCAATATTTGTCAAAGTTAATCTAATTAAAAAAAAACACAGTGACGTCAGTTCCAAAGCGCTATTGTGTCAGACTCATCTCTCGCTGAAGAGGATCCAGCGACATCAAGAGATTACGGAAAATCACGCGAGATAACTGGCTTGCACCTTGTTGGGTTTTTTCAAGGGCAGAGGGGAGATTCCTGGCGTGCATCCACTTAATTTGAAGAAGGTAAGAGTCAAACTATTTTCATCCAAATCCATATAAAAATATGTAACTTAAAATTTCTCTACCATTTGCACCATTTTCTAATTGTTCCATACTTGTGTCACATTATTTTATGTTTTGTAGATTAAGTCGGTTAGGTTAAGGCAGATAGCTTTTTGTTTACATTTATCGCCGCACCATGTTAGGTACATTCTGTGCGAAAAAAGTCTGCAGAGCCATATGTAGTGTACAAAGCTGCTGCCAGAGACACAAATGGACCCCAGAAATGTCACAGTTTTGCTCCTCCTGAGCTCCCTGGAGGTTTAGTGGATTTTTAACACACGGATCTGGCATCAGTCTATTTCTAACTATTTTAATTCTATTTCAGTAATGTTACTATGGAGGTAAATGTAGATACACACTTTGGTACCTTTCTATCATCATCGAGATTCTTAATTAATTATGGTAATAAAAAGTCCTACATTTCAGTCGGTGAAACCTGCAGAAAGCATTGCTTTCTGAGCTTTGTTAAATGTTCCTAAAATACCTGTTAGTTATGGATTTCTAGTATATTTTGTCAGGCTAAAACTCTCAATGGATTATCCATTATTACAGACTTGAGCTTTCTATTTTTTTTCTTTAAAATACATATTTCTCTGCTGTAAAGATGTTGGGGTTTTTTTGGACTCTTCTTTGTTGTCCCCAAATAATTGTAGCTCAGAAACAATATTGAAGTTCATTGGTTTAATTTTTAAATGTTGATGTTTTTTTGTGTTGATTGTTTGTGCTCATTTTGACCTATGTTACTATTGCTTTCTACCATGTTCAATTCACCATTGTTCTGCACATATGTGCTTGCATGTGTCCAGTGGTTATATTCATGAGGCATTCAAGGGACTTGTACTAAAAGATACAACTCAGTTCAGTATGAATTGCATATTTTAATGGCTGAAAATATATCTGATCTCTTTCAGAACATCACCTGATCACCTGTCTGTAATCCACCTGCTTAAGTTCTGGTCAAGGGGCTCATCGGCTATCAAGTTATAGATTTCAGTGGCTAATAGTAAGTTTTGCCAGATCTAAAGTGACTGAATGTAGTGTTAGAGAGCTTATAGAGCTAGAGTTCAGCTAAACATTTATTTGGCCAGTCTGTTTTATTTGTCTTTATTTGCGTGGGGATGTGGAAATGTAAGGAGTGTAGTCTCTCTGTCTCGTAGATATGACCTGTTAAAACATTTTACACTTAAACACCGGCATATGCGACGTTATCCATGCCCACACATAGACTGTCCATGTACTTGTAAGACATGGAATGCTTTGCATATTCATTTAAGTAGAAGGATATAGACTGTGTTGACCATTCTGTACTTTTCACATATTTCTTTGGTGATATATTCATGTCTTTATTTAAACCTCTAACAGCTTCAGTTAGATGTTTAAATAAGATGTTAAACTCCATTTTAGTCATGGCATAATGAAGGGATACTAACAATTTTAAATATCTTTCAAACAGACTGCAAGCCACTGATCACTTTTGTTGTGACTTCCTTTGAATGCAGCTATGCTTTCAAGTGTGTGAACCTATACTGCTGGAGTTTTGAGATTGTTCTCATTGTTTTTTGATCTGCATATTTAGGAAGACACTGCTGAGGTCAGACGAGAGTGCATCCTCAAATGTCTGTGTGTACCTAAATGAAGATCCAGAGAAGCTGGTGAGGGAGTACATGGTATGTTAAATTCTCTTTGTGTTGACAATAGAACTCCTAAGAGTTGTTAAAATACTTTCACCAACTAAGGTCCATGAGTGACTCAATCAATGTCAGTCTAATTTATTTATTTAATTACATGTGAATTGTCTCCCCCCCAATACCCTTCCCTAACTCCCTTAGGACGTTGATGAATGAAATGGCCAAAGCCGAGACTGTCCTCGGAATCGTCATTTGAGCAGAGGGTGCAGAGGCTGCCGATGCACATCTGGATGTTGGGATTGTCTTGGAGGAGGTGGAAGTTATGAACAGCTTGGGCAGTGTATCTTCTGCAATAGTGATGCTGCTGGGACTAATCTACGCACTAAACTTGAGCTACCCTCAAGTTTACATTTATCGCCGCACCATGTTAGGTACATTCTGTGCGAAAAAAGTCTGCAGAGCCATATGTAGTGTACAAAGCTAAACTTGAGCTACCCTCAAGTTTAGTGCGTTCAGCACTCAACTTGCTCAGTAACTCAAGCATACCTTTGAAGTAATACAGAAAATAATAATGAAATTGGATGGAAAGAACTTATCAAAGAAAGCACAAGTTCTCAATATGAAACTCGCCGCTAAGTTGAGTTAAGTTTCATATGGAAAATCAGTGTTTAAAGACTGCAGTAGAAAAGATTTATATTGTTACAGTTCTCTAAGTTGAGCAACTATACTGACATGTTTTATGTTGTAAAGAATTGGCTGGGAAATGAAACTGTAACCTTTTTGTGGTTGTTTTTTTTTTTCAATGTCCAACTCAGCTGTGTTTTGTGCTGTGTAAAAACGATGTATAACAATTCTGCAAATACAATTGTGTTGTACCTTTTCTAATTGTTGAGTGTTCTTCCTACACTTTCACCTAGTGCTATCTTAAAATGCTTGATTAACGCTTGAAAAAATGTCTTTGAACTAACATCATGAAATAATGGAAAGGATTTCCACACGATTAACTAGCTGTCTTTTAGCATGAAGCATATTTGTTGAGCTAACTTACTTTTAGTGAGTTGGACCTACTGAATCAAGTAGTGTGAAGGTACCACTGTAAAATAAGGTGGTTTCAACTAGATTTACATTCATCTTAATGAAGTTACATCAATGATTTGGTCCTAAACATTGCAGATTAGTTGGGCTGGCTGTATTGCATTACACTGGGTCACACTATAGTAACTGAGTTAAAGGAACCTTTAAAAAATATGTTGAGCCAACACATTTCATTTGAATTTGAATAACCTTAATGAATGGAGTTGAGCCAACTCATTTGATTTACAATCATCCGTTGCATTACCATAATTCTGGTTAAGCCAACATATTTGGTTTAAATTAGAACAACCTTAATGAATTATGTTTTGCCAACTCATTTAATTTATATAAGAATAACCACAATATATTACGTTGAGCCAACATGTTTGATTTAGAATCACCCATTGAATCACCATTGTAACAAGTTGAGCCAACACATTTGCTTTACATTGGAATAATCTTAATAAATTAGGTTGACCTAACACATTTGCTTTAAATAAGAGTAACACAAGTACATGGTGCTGAAATGAAGCAAAGTAATCAGGTGGAAATCCTTTCCATAATTTTTTTATGTTCATCCAATGACTTATTTTTTTCAGTGCAGAGGTATGAAGTGGAGATGAATCGTTTCTTGTTAATCTACATTTGTTCCATGCTATATAACCAATATGCATTTATAGATTCCTGCTGCAGATGATATGTGCCCTGAAATATTCACTTAAACCATCCATCTCTCTTAGCGGCAAGATGTGTTTGGTAATACTATGATCATAAATTGTAAAACTTTAGTTTCAAAACCTGTCAGAAATATGACATGGTAAAATACAGCTCTGGAAAACTAAGAGACCACTTAAATCAGTTTCTGAGATTTGACTGTTTATAGGTATACGTTTGAGTAAAATGAACATTGTTCTTTTATTCTATGAACTACTGACAACATGTGTCCAGAATTCCAAGAACAAATTTATTCTTAAAAAATAAGAAATGGTCAAAATAACAAAAATGATGCAGTTCTTTCAGACCTCAAATAAGGCAAAGAAAACAAGTTCATATTCATTTAGAAACAACAATACTCAAGGGGAGTTCTGAAATCAACATTTGGCAGAATAACAATGAGGATTTCAATGGGGTTCAATGCAGTGGACTCTTCACTGTTTTTCCAGGGCTGTATTTTCATACGTACGTCTCAACACCAACTAAGAAGTGAACGAGATTAAAGATTTGATTCGTAATACTTGATAAAAACAGGCAAATGCATATTTATGTAGACTTTCAGAATATAATAGAATATATATAATATTAACTTCTTGACTGATACATGATGGGGTGATAGTGTATGTGAAGTTGTGAAAAGGCAAAGAAGGATGGACGTTTTTTTTCTGTTGGGGTAAGCAAATCAGAAGATAAATGTTGTAGATTCTAGATTTTTATTTTTATACCTGCTTGTGATTGCATTCTTTTTTCACATTCCAAATTATTATCCATGTATTGGTTTCATATGCATCAGATATTAAACTTTGTCATGTTTGTGTACTATGTAGCAAGCCCAATAATTTTGCTGTTGTGCTAAAAGGTGTGACGTAGCGACACTATGTGAAGGGGTGTCACTAAGAGAGCTATGAAAATTGAAGATTGACTTTGCAGCAATCTCTCATCCTGAGCATGCATGTTGAGAGAGAGAGCACGAAAACTCCCCTCAACAGGAAGAAAGATCCAGCAGACCTAATTTCTGTCACATCAAATTCAGACAAAATATATTGAAAAGTGGTTGAAAAGCACTTTAAGAGATTTAAGAGGTGTGAATGCTTCCATGAAGCACTCTACACTTTGCTATGGATTTGGACTTCTCTGGTGGATGATCCTGAACTTTTGAGCTTACATGATTCCTTAAGCAAATCTGCTGCATCATCTTTTGTTTATCCTTCTTACTCTGGCATGTCAGCCTTTCGGAGGAGGAGCTGGCCATCATCATGGACGTAGCGTCACCCGTCTCCCACAGTCTTGCAAGGTTCCTGGAGGACAGACATGTTGTCAGTGCACATTCATCACACAGTCCAACGTTGAAAACAGATTTCCCTCATAAGCAATTTTGCTCGTTAGAGTCACAGCGCAGACTTGCTGATTGGAGTAACTCTGAGGCTACAACTCTGAGAGCAAAAGAGAGAGGAGCATGACTGAGAGGAGGAGGGAGTGGGAGGGAAGGAGAGGGCCTGACACGTTTTATAGTGATGTGTAAGCTGAGATGTTGATTAATGTGTATTGCTCCTGTCACATAAACTGAATAAATAAATATCAAACAAAAGCTGGAGGAGAAGCTCATTTACAAACCAGGAAATGAAAGTTCCATTAAGTTTGGGAGTAAGACGGACTGGGATGACAATCTGTGGACATGACTGTAAACAAGAAATCAGCACTGTGAAAGTCAGGACTGTGGGCCCTTATGCCTGAAAAACCTCGTGGGGTTATAACAAGCATTTCTTAAACCAACGCAGTCCAGTTGTTTTGTCACCGACACAATATTAGGTGGAGATCTCCATTGTGTTTCCAGCTCCTTTTCTGTAATAAATGGCCGTCCTGGTTAGCATGCCTGAATGCCTTCAGAAGCAGTGATTGGTTTCAAAACAATTGAATGGGGCTTACAGTTAAAGTGGGGCACAAAGCAAACATTGTTTATGAAATTTAAAACCCCACCCAACATGCTGCAGGAGATGGATGGTGATAACAGAATATTTCACAACGGCACGACCCTGCTCTGTTCATTAGGGACAGTCCTGTTTATTTTGATCTTCATGTCCCATTCACAAACACGCTTGTTTACATAAATAAACAATTTTATGTTTGCTGCCATGGAAACAGGGTTCACACAGGCACAGAAATCACCGTTTAATGGAGTAAGATGTTTACATGCCTGAGAGTGCATACCTCAATTGTCACATTATGGCCTTTTATAACTATGTGGAAGGAAGCGATTAAACGTGACAGCTCACAAAGTTACAACAGCTCCATGGAAAAACAGAAAAAAATTAGCTATGAATCAGTTTGATATTATGAAGTTTAATAAATATTCTGGAAATGGTATTAATTGTTCTATTACACAATAAATATGACTAAGGATTATTTTAATTATAACCACTAAAGTATTGGAATCATTAAAAATTACAAGTCTAAAACATGCTTTCTGTTGCTTTTGTGATTATTATTAATAGTAATATGAACATATTAAAACTACTCCTCACTTATTATTAAGATAATAATGATTATTATTATTATTATTACCATTAATATCTCTTTGTAATAAGGAAACAAAGAAGGGACAGCTGATCAAAACCAAAATACAAAGAACTGCAGCAGTTTAAATAAGTCAAACAAGAAAAAAAAATCTATCTATGTTGGAAAGAGACAGTGATATTTGTTGCCTAACAAGAAACTGTATTTAATAGCTGTGTTGGTGAGATTCTCACATTTAAAAGAACCACTTATAAATACACAAATGTATCACATAAAGCACTAGTTGAAACTAAAAGGTATCACTCTTACTCTCATTTCCTTTAGTCTTAATTTGCTTTTAGTCATTATTGGCCCGTTCAGCTGGAACTGCGCTCTTAGAGAACAGTGCAACTTCAAAGCAAACCCTTTGCACAGATTTTTTTGTTTTGTTTTACTGATATTTTTATTTGTTTTTACCTATTTTGAGATCCTCCAATAAGAATGAGTCAGTGTGACTGCGTTTGATTTTAAAGGTTATACTCTTCTCTTTTTGGACTTGGTTTAGCTGTTCACTTGTTTCTGCTGAATAATAGTTATTTTGTGATGTTTTGCATATTGTTATATTCATTATGCTATTCCATTCACATTGACTATTTCACATTATAAATGAGGCAGGAAGACATTTCAGCCAGTTGATTAGACATCATTGATCCTTACTAATTAATCTTTGCCAAAAACAGAAAAAAAATATTCTTCTGCATATATGGAAAGATAAACTCTCTTCGTTAACGAGCTCTTGTTTTATCAGGTCAGTGATGGCAGCTCGCCTACCCCGCTGTCATTCTCCTCATGAAGAAATGCACTCATGCAGTAACTCCTCTTCTTGCTTCCCTCAGCTCCTTTTCTTCCCTCCCTGGATTTGCAGATTCCATCTCCTGCCCCGGCATCTGGAGAGAAGTCATTTTACAGTTCAATCAGGAATCCTAATAAACTGACCTGTGTTTTAATGACTAATTCATTGTCTCCTTTACTACCTTCATGGGTATAAAGCAGATTAATGACTTGAGCAAGGTTAAAAACAGTACCACTGTGCTTTTCCTTCAGCTGTTATCAATCATCCTTTAGATTCTTGAGAGAGCTACGGAAATTGAAGAAAAATTAGCAATCTTCCTGATGGATGGCAGCAAAGGACAGAGTGTACATTAGATTAGTGTTATAGAATGAAATGGAAGACAGCTTGTGTTTTAGGATATGCTGTTTAGATGGCTCAGGCTCTGATACTGTATTACAGAATAATGCCACAGTTTAGGTAACAGTAAAGGATAATCACTCACTTTTATTTCTCCCAGCTATCGGCTCCCAAACCAAGGATCTTCCAGGCCAGTTTTACTGCAGACCAGGCCATGTAGGATAACTCTTCAAAACCCCGGTAAAAATTCCCAATGAAATTTCAAATAATGTTACAAGTATTAA